CCCCAAAACCCCAAAACCCCAAAACCCCAAAACCCCAAAACCCCTTCTAGAGATAAAGATTTAAATTTAGAGATAAGTTAATAAGCAGAAGTATATGCTTTATACCGATCCCTGACTTCTTGTCTCATTTTACTGATCTGTTCCTTCTGTGCAGTCTCTGCGATATAGTTCTCGAATTTCAGACTATCAAGTTGGCCTCTAACAAGCTCAATTTGGTTCTGGTAGTGCTTAGTCAAGGCTTGAATAGAAGAAGCATTCTTATCCCGGACTTCTCTTTCTATTTGGGTTTCCTTTTTCCTTCTTTCAACCTGCCTCTCTTTCTCATGCTTGTCAGCTAACTTCTTCAGCTTATATTGGTTTTTCTCTTCCATTGCTTTAATATTTGAGACGCGTTTCTTCTCATTCATGATGACATCTTCCATCTGCTTTCTTTTCTTAATTTGTTCTATTTTCATTTCACGTTTAAAATTCTTAAGTCTACGCTTCTCCTTCTCTTTCATCTTCCTAGCTTGCAGCCGGCGGTCTACAAGCTCATCCTTTAGCATTCTCTCGAATTTCTTTTTAGATTTCAGGATGATGTTTTTCTCATCCTCATTAAGCTTTCTATTGTCAACTGTGATGTTGAACTTCCCCTGTGCTTCTTTTACAATTTTGGATAGGTCAGTGTAGGCTTGATAGAACTTTGGCTTAGCCTTTCCGACAAATAAGTCTTGCTCGTGCACCTCCTGTTGCTCCTCAGCTGCCTCCTTTACACCTTCCTTGATGAGGTCCTTTAATTTTTGTTCATTTAGAGGAAAACTCTGGAGATCTTCCTTACTTGTCCTAATTTGTTATACTGTGATTACTTACGATTTAGAGGCTTTATGATCAAAAATATTCTGCTCTGTGCTTCTTGAAGGATAGAAACTGATGAACTTCTCATATGGGTCAGTAATTGAACTCTTTGTGTCCTTATGTTTTGAGATCAATGTATATGGCTTTTTCTTAGATTTTGCACCCTTCTTCTTTTGTTTGACCTTATCCTTAAGTACGTCTTCATATTCTTTAATAACCTGCATATATTCATCCTTCTCCTTCTTGCTGATCTTCTTCTTAGGTTTAGATTTTGGCTTGTAAGAAGACTCATATTTACTTTTGAGAGGGTAATGAGCTGTCTGAGGCCTCTTACGTTTCTTCTGGGATCTTTCTCTTGATTTTTGTTCTCTCTCTACTTCATCAACGATCTCTTGGTATCTCTTTTGAGATATATCCTCGAATCCCTTAGGTCTTTTCTTAGGATACTTTGCTGTAGAAGGTCTGTGAAATGTATTAGAAGTTTCTATAGTTTAGCCCTAATGGCACTTACCTCTTCTAAAAGTCGAGCTATAATTATATGCCCTACTCTTACCCTTCTTCCTCTTCTTCTGCTTCTTCTTAAATTTCTTGAATTTGGTAAGATCATCCTCATACATTTTCTGAAGAAGGAGCTGATCTCTAATTTTAGCTAGCATTTCTCCGTCAAGTTCTGGCATTTCATTGGAACTGGTGTTTTCCTTCTGGTCATCAGTGTAGCTCTCCTCCATGACTCCATCATAACCGATTTTCTTGTTCATTGGTGTGATAATTTCATGCTCATTGGACTCTCTAATAGTGCTCAACTTTTTCAGTGCCGGATTCTTTAAATTATCAGGTGTTGGGTCTCTCGCTGACTTTCTTGATTTGCTTTCGCTTGATCTATTAAGCCCACTAATATTAGATGCTTTATCCTCCTCAGAATCGATTGAGTAGGAAGACTCTTTCTTCTTGAAAACCAAGCTTTGCTCAGCTATTCTTCTCTCATCTGGATTTAGCTTTGACTTATCTTTGAGATACTGTTGCTTAAGTTTCTCTGTAGCTTTGAAATCCTTGCGTGGATCCCAATCTTCTGAAGCAATTTTATCTCGAAGATTGTTTAAATTCTTGAGGTTTGAAATATAAGATCTGCTGTCATCCTTCTTGACCTGTGATGCTCTTGATGTTTCGTTATCACCATCTAGGCCATCTAAGATGAGTCCATCATCTGATAAGGAAACAGCATCGTCATGATCTTCAATTTTTCTCCTGGTTTTTGGACGTACAGGGAGGTCATTATTCTTTTGCTTGTCTTGTATTCTTGACAGGTTATCAGATACCTGTTTTGAAGCTTGTGAGTTGGATACATGATCAAAACTTTCAGTAGTGTTCATTACTTTCTTCTTTTCCTGGATCTTTCTTTCATAAGAACTACTGTTATGTGGGTCTTCAACTGGCTCATTATCAAATTCTGTTGCCGGCTGCATCAGCTCATCAGGATTCTCACTAAGATCACTAGCATCTTTGAGATCCCAAACTTTCGGCATGCCATCTCCATTATCCTCTACCATTTTGATCATATTCTGAATTTTTCCTTCTTCTGGTTCATCATCCTTCTTATCCTTTTCACTCTCAGTCTCTTCATCGCTTTCTTCTTCCTCGAGTTCAGTCTCTATATTGGGAGGAATCTTGATTTCCTTTGGAATATCGAGATCGATCTCGAAATCTAGAACATAATTATGGAAAGATCATACCGTAGGGGGAGGTGCCTGCGGCAGCTCCTCCAATAGGTTGGTTCCCAACCTGACCGAAAGGAGCCAGAGGGTCGCCTCCTCCAGCTCCAAATGGCTGATTGCTAACCTGCCCGAAGGGGACGAGGCCACCCCCTCCTAAAGGCTGGCTAGATCCCTGGAACTGGTTCAACTGAGGATTGTTGTTTTGGAACTGATTCAGTTGAGGATTGTTCCCCTGGAATTGATTTAGTTGTGGACTATTCCCTTGGAATTGATTTAGCTGAGGATTGTTCTGTTGGAACTGATTTAGCTGAGGCTGACCTCCAAATTGGTTTAATTGGGGCTGTCCGCCAAACTGGTTTAATTGAGGTTGGTTACCAAATTGGTTGAGTTGGGGTTGACTACCAAATTGATTATTAACTTCATCAGCAGGTTCTTCCTGATCAAGCCCATCAGAATGCATAGCTGCAAATTGATCAAGAGGATTATTAGAGACTGGAATATTTTTCTTTGCTTTCTGAGGAGATTTACCTCCTTTATTTAAATTCTCTTCTTGCTCCTGTTGCTGCCTCTCAGCCTTGCGTTGTTTCCTAATATCCCTAGGATCACCATGCATAGTCCCTGCTCCTTGGCCTCTTCCTTGCATAGTATTTTGATTATTCTCCATCATCAATTTCTGTTGCATTTCAGCTAACTCTTCCAATTGTTCTGGATCCTGCTCATCCATCATATCTCCTTCACCCTCTGCCAACATCTCATCTAATCCTATAAGAGAGGCAATGATCTCTAAGAGTAAGTTAATCTGGGTGGGATCTCCTTGTACAATCCCGGCACCTGAAATCGGATATTGTGCTATGTCAGGAGAAGTATCCCTCAAAAGTCCTAACAAATCCTCAATATTAAGTGCCATTTCTTGCACATTTGCTCCATTTTGGAGGCCAAAATCTTGATCAAAAACTCCTTGCAATATTTCTATATAAAAGACATCCATTCATAAGATCTGGGGGTCATCCAGGATGTCATCAGAGTTAAGCCCTGCTAGTATCATATTCGCTAGTTCCAAATTCTCTTCGTCTGTTGCAGGAGGTATGTCCATTTGTTGTTGTTGGAATTGACCTCCATAATTCTGAAAGTTCATGCGACTTTTAAATTTATTTAAATATTCAATTTATTTATTTTATTGGGGTTTTGGGGTTTTGGGGTTTTGGGGTTTTGGGGTTTTGGGGTTTTGGGG